GCAGTTTCTCTGCAGTCTCTGGGGTAAGTTATGTGGGTGGAGTCTACCTTTCTTTTAAAAGCAAGAACATGGTTCTTTATTGGCAGTAACTTTGTACTTATTAATTTTGTCACTATGGTAGTTCCTGAGGTCTTTGCAATTGTGACTGCAAACTTACCTTGCCTTTTAAGCAACTTGTAAGTTCATGGGTAAGCAAGGAACCTACTCATACAAGCTTAGCTTGCAACACAGAGATTGCCTTTCTGCTAGCATGGGATCTCACTAGAGTTATTATTGTGTCAACTCACTGGTGAAAACTTCCATGACGTGTTTCATTTTGAACAGGATTCTGCAACCAAAAAAACAGGGTTTTTAAAATTAGGGTTAACTTCTTTAGCGAAGTTGTATTTTTCTTTTGAGGAGTTCTCTGACTGACAGTTATTTGTCTCTTGGTCAGGTACAACTGGTAAAGCATCATCTCCGCCACCTGTACTAGACACAAGACAGATGAGTGAGAAGCTGGAGACAATATTATATCAGCTCCGTCAGGTAACTCGAGAGAGGGATGAGTTACGCAAACAACTTGCTCTTTCATCTCCTGGATCAACTTTTGATGACTGCAGGTAAAAAGAAAGGAAATGTAACATTTCAATTTAGTCCTTAGAAGTGTTTTCAAGTGTCTTGACCCCCTGCTTGCCTGTAAAGCAGCAAGGATATTGCAATATATATGTTGCTTGTAACCTGCTTGCATCCTGGTGATGTGTGTGTAAGCAGGTGACCACATCCAGATTTTGGAGCTTCCTGTTGAATGCCTGTTCCTGCTTTCTCCATCAGTTTTGCTGTGGGAATGAGGGGTGTAGGGGCTCATATGATTAGCGTTCAGAGAAGAAAGCAAAGAAGTTGTTTAGGCTTCTTGGGTTATGTTGTGGGAAGAGAAAGAAGACAGTGGCTGAAACATTTGCTATTTTGAAAGCATGGGAGAGGAAAGGGAAATATCTCTGAATACTTGGCTGGGGGACAGAAGTTAGGAGAGGAGAAAAAAATTTCAGATATTCCTGTGCTTCTGTAAGGAGAGAGAGGCTTGGGCTTCTGTAACTTCTGTTGAAGGGAGTAAGTGTTTTTTAGAAGGTACGCTTTCTGATATACATATATTGGGGGACTGTGTAGCATTAACATGTTGAGAGTAAGAAACTCTCCTCCACTGAGAAGTTATGGGTGCTGCAAAATTAAAATAATGTGTTCAAAGTCAGTTAACGGCCATCAGCCTTATGCAGCTTATTCTAATTTAAGGGTTGTTTAGTTACAAGGAAGATAGTACTGAGGGAGAGTATAAGTTAATTGTAGATAAGGGTTTTATTGGGTAGGAAACAGAATTGGCTCATTTTAGAGGGTTAAAGATCTGCTCATGTTTATAAATGTGACTTTGGGCACACTGAACAGGTGCTTTTTGCCTGCAGTAAGCACATGTAAGAGAAATTTTTTGAACCTTGGAAAAAATTGTCTGTCACTGAATCTGAAATAAGAGCAAAGAGCAGAATTTCTGGGAGGTCTTGCCAAAATGCATAGGTTCTCTGAACTTCAGTGTTTTAAGTTGTTTGTATCTGTTACTTCATCAGCTTTATCTGTATGTGGTCAGGTGGTTAATTAAACTCTTTGTCCTTATGAGATAAGGTCAAGATTTGAACCAGTGAACTGGAGTTGAGAGAATCTGGGCATTTTATTCACTCCTTAGCTACTCATCTTAATGCCCTCTTCCTCCCACTATGAGTTCTGAGGGCTACTTTAAGAGCATCATGTTCTATCTAAGGGTGTCCAAGCATTGTGGGGACAGGAGACGAGGTCTTCAAATGTCAGCATCTTTTGCATAGCTTCCAGTTACTTATTTGTACAGAGGGATTTCTTACTTGAAGTTGCTAGAGCTTGGGCATTGAGGATGTTACAGTTTACAATAATGTTCTCCATAATTCAGGATGCTATTAATAAGGTTATGATGAGCTGTCCACTAGTTCATTCTTTTTATCTGTCACATCAATCTGCTGCTGCCAGCGTAAGATTTTTATGTTGTGGAAAATATAAATATTTACAGCATAAAGAAAAAACTCAACAAAGTAAACATTGTATTTGGGCAGTGCTTGGACAGTATATGTTAGATGGAGGATGCTGCCTTCCAAACATTTAAATACTTGAAAAGAGGGGAATGAATGAAGATTAGTAGTTGGCAAATTCTTCCTTCAGTATAAAAGCAACTACTCCTCCCATCCACATTGACATCTATGGTTTTTGAAAGCTTGCTGGTATTTTTTTTACTTTGTTTTGCATACTTTCCTCATATAAAACTAATCCTCAGCCTTCCAGGAGTCAAAGCACAGATATTGTAAACTGTTATGCTGAAGTGTGAAAGCTGAAACATAATTATTTAGAGGGTGACTATTACTACCCAATAAGGGCTTTTGCTTTCCTGGCTGTGTACGCTGCTTTAACCATGACCGTACCAAACACAGGTGGTGGTGCAGAGGCGACTCTAGACATGTCACGATGGCATGCTTCAAAACAGTTGCAGCTCACAGCACATTTGTGGGCTGGGCTGCGCTGGCTGTGAAGGCTGGCAGTTGCAAAACCGAGAGCTGTTTTCCAAAGCAAATGTTGACTAAGTCTAGAGCAGAAGAGGAGCCGCAGAAGTGGATTGTGATGGGCTGAATCAGATGAGCATGTGTCATCCTGCTGGACAGGAGTAGGATTGCTCATGCTGTGCTTGTGTCACTTGACAGTGACTGTATGTGTGCACGTGTTGTGGTAATTAAGCAAAGATTTGACCAAACAATTTAGTGTGCTCAAGGTGCACTTAATAGACTTAAACTTACTATTCTTGCTAGTTATGTAGTAGTAGAAGAGAACTGCAATACGATAAAACCCTTGAAAAAACTGCCTTTGAGAAGAGACTGTTTTATGTGTAATCTGTAATTGGGTGGTGGAATTGCAATAGTGAATTAAAACATTTGCAAGATGTTGGGTAGGCATTGCCTGCAAAATTGGATCTGCCATTGGCATTAGCTTTTATGTCAGCATCACATACATTTAAATGTCAGTCTCTCAGTGGCCTTGATTTGTGCTAAAAGCAATTCCATTGGAATACAAAGGATTTCTAGATTTGTAATATGAGTATCAGAAAAGCAGTTGGGCCTTTGACGCTAGCATTTTAAATTTTGTTATCATTTGAACTAGTGCTTCCAAAATAGTAACTGACAGCTCTCCTTTACTGAAATCAAAGATTTCTGTATTTTGTGAGGCACTTTAGCATAAAACTGTGCTGATCTTACTTACACAGGAGTCAACCACTGCATGCATTTGAATGGACTGTTTTGACCAGTGCTACTCCTGTGCATATCCCTCTCTGTCTGTCTGAGCCATAAAGCTTTGGAACAGCACTACAGAACATATGGCCTTGCCTATCCAGATGTTTTTTATTTCATGTAGACGAGCTAGAATGCAGGATGTTACTGGTGGTATTGTTGTGCATTCCTCATCGTATAGGTAGGCTAACTTCCATAGTTACCTACATGGTATGCATATGCCTATAGGTTTTGGGGTTTTTTTGGATAGAGCTAGTGTTACTTCAGCAATATGTGAAACAGACATGATTGATGTTAGACTTGTAGAACAAGTTCTCACCGTAGCTTTGAGACTGATCTAATAGTTATACTTCAGTAAAAATTCGTACACTGAATTGTTTTGCACAAATGTGAATTTATGATTACAAGCTTAATATGAATGTGTGCTAAGGGGTCTCAGCTTCATGCTTCAACTGAGAATTAAACTGTGCTTCAATTAATGTTGTCATTTTAATGACTGATGGACAGATGGTGTCTGCTTTCAATAAGTTCACTCTGAAGGCTAATTTAAATCAATACTTGTGTTTTTAGTGATTCTGTCAAGGGTGTGAACATTTCAAATTGAGTCTTACCTATGCTAACTAAGGTTATATTTTAAAGGAGTAACACTGCAGTAGTTAACGGCAATATGTCTCTAAGACTGTACTACAACATCTTTTGGCACCCCTAAACGGTGAATTAAAAAACACCCTAAAATACATCCCTGTAGATATGACTTGAATATTCAGTTGCTTTATATGAATTTGCCTTTTAGTTGTTGCTAAAGTCTGTCAGTCAAGGAAGGGTTTTTTTGGTTTTCTTTGCCCCAGGAGCACTTACTTGGAGAAAGGAGAAAAAGAGGAATTACAATTGAAGGCCTTACTACTCAGCAACCCAAATGCACCTGGGCTGCTAAAAAGCACCTTCATATCATACACCCACTCCCTAAAAGTCTGTGAATCAGATGTGGCTGGCATTTTCTTTTTTTTTTTTTTTTTTTTTTTTTAACAACACTCACCACTGCAGCAATGTGAAACTATTTTCATTTTGATTCATGCCAGCTGCATTTCAGTTCCAAAATCCACGTTGCTGGTTTTCTGTGAAGCAAAGAGAATTCTGATTGCTTTTCAGCCTCCGCTTACAGCGAAGCTGTTTGGGAGAGAGAGAGGTGAGAGGAAGAAAGGGTGATCTGTGCAGCAATGGAGCAAATCTGAGAATAAACAGAGTTAAATTAGAAAGCAGTTGTTTTTAGGTTTTTTGTTTGTTTGTTTTGTTTTTTTCCCATTGCCTGTGGGGTTATAAGAGACTTGGGAGATGACACAGGGCCAGCTGTCAGAAGCTTAATTTTGAAGCTAGAGAATTCAATGGTGCAAAAATTTTGTGACTGTGTAGAGGAGGAACAGTTCAATTTAGAGTCTCTTTTAGAAGCTTAGTACTTCAAAACGAGAAGGCATAATCCTGCTACCTTGGTTTCTACATGATTTATTATTTTTTCTAATAAATAAATAAAGGTATCGTGTGCAATGACCACACATTCTAGACATAATCTATGTTGGTTAATTACATGACAAACTAGATTATTCTAGAAAATGTCTCCTCTCCAAGTCATGCTCATCTACTAAAAAATAAATTTTTCTTTTGACTGACTTTGGCTTTCACTTTTTTCAGCTTACTGAAAATTTCTTATTGGAGATTATATTGTATTGGAGACTCCTAAAAATTATTTGAGCAAAATTTGGGTGGTTTTATGGAAATGTGAGGTAGATTCTGCCATGATTTCTCATTCCTTTATAGTCGTTTAAAAGAACATGTTAACACTCAATGAGATGTGTAATTCAGCAGAATGACCTGGTCAAGTTAGTTAAATTCAATGGTCAATTAGTCAAACTGGTCAAATTCTGACAGCACAGATGCAAGTGTTTGGTGTCCCATTGAAATTCTTTCTCTTGACCCTAACCCTGGTTTTCCTATGAGCTGTAGAGAACGTCCTCCAGCTGCTGCCTAGATGAGAAGTTTTTCTTAGCCCGGGTCTCCACATAGTCCCCTCTTGACTTTGTCAGCCTCTTTTCAGCTCCACTCTCACTGCAGCTCTGGGCTTTTTCTTTGAGAGTTTTGACAGGGTAGCACAGGAAAGCCAAGCCGACTTTGATTGACTGGTTCTTGTATCAAGTGACGGTTCTGTTCTGCAATAATACAGCTGCTGAGAAGAGAGGTACACGCAAACTCAGTACTATTTTTGACTGTGTTAGTGTCAGACAGAATTATCTCATTTTTGGATGTTACATCTCAGTATAAAAACAGGTTAAAGTCAGTGAATTTTTATTTGTGGTTGCATCTAGATGTAAAGTGGTGAGTAGTTAAATTAAAGAATACTATAACTTAAGTATCAATAATTGTGTTTATTTATTGGATAGTAATTTCCCAAACTTTGCATTCTCTTCAGTAGCTGATGTTTGACTTCATATTCTTTTTCCATGCTAGGCCTAGTCCAAAACCAAATCATGATTATGAAAGACTGAAGATTCAGTGCATGAAGGCCATGTCAGACCTTCAGTCTCTGCAGAACCAACACACCAAGACCCTAAAAAGGTGTGAAGAAGCAGCAAAAGAGGCAGACTTTTATCAGTAAGTATTAGTAAAGCTATATGTGCTAAAGAGTTTACCAGTTTGTGCTAGATCATGAAGTATTAGAACATGGTAATCAAATAATTTTTTAAAATTCTGTTTTCCCACTTTAAGTGCAAGATTAATGCTTGCTTGCATCAGATAAAACATTTCTGGCCTGTTTGAAAATTTTTATAAAGTATGGATTGCTGCTTTTATTTTGAAGAATTTGTCTTGATGGGACACTGACAAGGAAAGCCTAGTTAGTGACTTGCAGTTACAATCAAATAGTGTTACTGTCAGGCTGGAGAGCAGAACATAATTTGAGAGAATGTCATCTGTTACTTTTCTTTAATAGGTTGTGATAGCTCTCATGCTGACTTGTGTAACTTTGTAAGGGTTTATGAAAATGAGATAGGGAGAAATTGGTGAATATTTCTGGCATGTTTTCTTCACCTGAAAGCTTGGTTTGAAGTTTATTTCACTTAAATCTACACTATCAAGTATGACTAGTATTTAATGACAGCATTTGTTTTCACTGGGCACTACTAGTTCTTACATAGCACTTCTACCCACAACTCTTCAGGTCTTTACAGATAAGAATTATTTCCTTACATTCTTCTTCCAAAACCTGAAAACAGTGTTAAAGATTGTCAAGCGGTACAGATGTTTTTGTTGGTTGTGGGGGTTTTTTGTTTTGTTTTTTAAACAATAACAAACAAGGAGATTTTTGTAGTTTTCATCAGTATTTTGGTTAGCTGCTGCTCAGCTGAGAGGCCCAAGAGAAAGTGGAGGTGATTAGCAGGATAACTTCTTTTACCTCCAGGATCATGTTACGCTCACTTTACAACATTGCTGTTTATCTATCTGCTTGCTTTTAAAATGGCTATGAAATCGCGTATGATGGGTGGCATAAATCCATCGTTTCTTCGGATGCTGTTTAAGAGTACTGTGTACTTTCACGTATTTTTGTACTTAAGTCCCTGTTTGTAGGTTTGGTTTTTTTTTTCCCTGGTGTTTGGAATGCTCAAATATGCAAAATTGAGTTAGTTTGACTAATTAGTTTGACTTGGTTTCCTACCAAGAAACTCATGCGTGAAATGAATTAGTCCAGGATTTTGTCCTGGTGAGTTGGGCTCTAAGAGCATTTTTTGTGTGCCATGATAGCACATTGCACAGTCGGCTGCTGAGTGACCAGTCACAGCTGAAGGAGGACATGGATACCTTGAAGAGGAAAAACACACAGCTGGTGCGAGAACATAATCATCTCCAACAGTCGTGTGAGGAAATGAAGAGACTTCATGATGAAGATCAGAAAGAGATAACGGACCTGCGCAGCCAGCAGCAGCAGGTAAGCGACAGCTTGTAGTGTATGTGTTAGAAGAGGTCGTGAATTGTTCCTTTGACAAATAAGTCAGTCAAACTAAATGTACAGCGTTACTGCCTTTTATGTCTTACTGATTCTAAAACTTTACTTTTTACAGCACTAGGGGAGAAAAAGAGTTCTTGGATACTAATTGATTTTCTGCATCTATCTGGAAAAAAGATGACGGATATAGATTATCATTATATGTGAGGAAGATTGTATATGCATGATATTTTTTTGCAAGTGTGTGGAAAGGCATCAAAAACCTAGCTTGAAGTTGCAAAGTGATTAAAAGACAGCTATTTTTCTAGGATATTTTATGGGACAGGGCTAGCTTTAAACTTGCCTGCTATGTTTGTTTCTTTGGAAAGAATCACAATAAAAAAATAAGAGATACGGCTCTGCCATTTTGTGGTTTTTTTGTTTTTTTTGTTTTTTGTTTTTTTACTTATTCTAATGACACTGTAAAGGTTAGGGGAATGACTGAGCTGAGTTTAGTTATTTAGGTTTGCAGACACTATTCAGTTAGAACAAAGCTACAGGTTGATTAATGTTTTTGAACTTGAAAGAAAGACAGACAAGCTTTTCAGGACTGGAAGAGGTGGACATTGCAGAACTGTATATAACAGTCTGTCTCCGGTCCAATGTAGTTCACACATTCTGAAGAAAGAATAGTAAGAGTAATGGTAAGGAGCAACTGGTCCTATCAGGTCCATGGTTCACCTACGGAAAAGTCTCATTTATTTAAAATAGTTACAGTAATGTGTGGGATGGTTTAACAGACTATCTTGGTTAATAGTGTGTAGGGTGATTCACAGGGCAAACTTGCAAGTCAAACATGAGGCTTCAGAAGCAAACCTACAAACAAAAATAATTATTTGCTAGGGTAGGAGGGGCAAAGGTGAAGGCAAGCTGCGTGTGCTAAATGGCGCTTCAGAAGGTGTTTGAGGGCTAGTGCAAAGAGTAGTGAAGATTTGATCCCCTCCTCTAACGCCATCTTGAGAGTTGTGCTGTGATATGGTTTAGTGACTTGGTTCTGAAGATGGCAGAAATGGTTTGCTGTGTAAAAATCTGTGTGGGCAAATTGCTTAACTGATCTATGCCTCACTTTCCTGGTCTGCAAAGCAGCGGTGTAGAACCTCCAAATGAAGGCTATTGTATTTTGAGGTTCTGTACTGAAGTTTTAAATTATCTGGCAGCACAAAAAGAGACTGAAGTGTCATTGTCAGTATTTCTTTAAAGAAATTGAGTCTTGTGTCAACATCACAGTTAAACATTTAAAGAAAACTTTAGAGAGACTCAGTGAGAACCATGTGTAACTCCATTTCTCAGCATGTCAGAGTGAATCACAGTGACTTGAAGGGCTGCCAAGAGTCTTATCTTGTCTGTGTCATTTCTCATCCAAATTAGTCTCGCTCTGTGTTGATGCCTCTGACATGTTTCGTCGTCAGGCCTGAGCGAAACACAACATCTTGGTGGCCTCAGAGAGCAAACACTTCTTATCGTGTTACTCTTCGTGTGGGATTGCCATGGATTTCCTGCATAGCAGCTGACCAGCTTAAGTTTCTGCTGCTCACATATGAAATTTCTCGTTGCCATAGTTGTCTTCCTTGGTCCAGCTGGGACTATTTACTTTTCTCAGACTTGGATTTTGAATGGGAGACCCTCCTTATTACACTGCTGCCTGTTTATGGTGTTTCTGTCTTCCTCTCTCAAATCTCTGTTAGCAAGTTTATGCTGAATTCCATCCAATTTCTGGTATATTCGTCCTTCTTTAATTATTTAGTGTGTTTTCAGCAAAAGGAAATTCTGTATATGCTTTAGACAGTGAAAAGTGGTTTGTTTCCCTTTGGATTCTCAAATACTTGGTCCTCAAACCTGTTCTCAGAGTGCTTTGGGAAGTAGTCTTCAGGAAAATGACTCTCTGAGTGCATTGAAATCAACAGGTATTTACACTTTACATATACCTGCAGTTTATCACATGTTTAGCTTATCTGAAATAGTTCACAGAAGCTTGCTAGCTAATAACCGGTCCAACTTTGTGGGTTATGCTACTGAATCCACTGAAGATAGGGATTAATGTGGAAATAGCCATGACGATGAGACTGTCACCAAAGTGCAGCCTTGCTTGGGACTGTTTTATGAACAGGAACTGGCTACTTTTATGGGTCTTGGTTAGTTAAAGGAGACCAGTGTCAGGCTGAAGAACTCGGTCTCTCTTATCTTGCCTGCACAGAGAAGTGTTTTCCTGACAGTGATGGTTGTTATCTGCTACCTGTGGGCAGTGAGTAGTGGGCCAAGAGTGGGCAATCTCTTTCGGTCTCCGTTCCCTTTGGTCTGCAGGCATCCAGGTTCTTCCATGTTCAGGAACTGGTCCTTACTCTGAATATAAGACACAAAATAAGATGAGGAGCCAATTTGTACATGTAGGGTAGTCGCTGTGTGTTTGATTTAAACTTTTTATAGAGGTTGTGTTTTCTTTCTTTTTTTCCTTCTAATTTTTTAATACTTTTTATTTTCATATAGTTAGACACATACTTTTCTAGGCTAATGTTAAGATTATATAAATTCCTGGCACCTCCCTGTATAGAACATTCCTCTTTCTTCCCACCGCTCCATCAGGCCAAATTTCAAAAACAGAAAAAATGATCATAGAGTTAAAAAAAAAGTAAAAGTAAAAATGAGGGTAAGGCCTTACTTTCAAGTGCCTATTTCAAGGCACTTTTTTTGCCTTTTGAGAAGGAAGAAGGACTAGATTTGCTGAAGCTCATTAGGGGCTTTCTGTTGTTGTTGCTGGTCATTTACCATCAATGTTGCTATTTACAAGATTCTTACGTCAATGAAAATTAATTTGAAACTAAGATTCAGGCCGGGCTGCATTCATGTTTAAATGGATTTTTCTCTTCCTGTTCATATTTTATGGATAGCTTTTGAAACACAAACCTCTGTGGATAGTTCTCAGATGAAATATTGTACGAATATTAAAATATAAGTCTGCGTGTATAACATATTTAGGGTAGATTTTATTCTCTTCAAGTTTTACGCTAATCAGTTTGTTCATGAAGGATACAGCCAGCCTGTCATGAATGCCACCTCGTGGTCCTTTCCCAAAATACAGCTGTCGTCTTGGTCATCAAATAACGATTACCTCTTATAAAACGACAAAGTACTTCAATAACTTATGGTAGCAATTACCATTAGAGAGAGATTTTCATAAAATTGTGCACTCTAAGTTGTGATAAATCAGATCTTTTTCACCCAGTTAACATTAAGCAGATGTAGTAATGCTTAGAATAACAGTAGTGCTTAGAAGAGGCTCAGTGTTTCCTTAGTCATTAAAAAATTATTATTAGAATCGTTGAATATTTTTTTGTTTGATATTGTTTCTGGTATATATTTTAAATCAAATGTATTGGACTGATTAAAACCTGAGTTTATTAATACAGTTGCTGGCATTTTTTTAGGTTATGAAGCAAAATGGATCATCAGAGATATTAAATAAACTTTATGATACAGCAATGGACAAGCTGGAGGGTGTGAAGAAGGATTACGATGCCCTAAGGAAACGGTACAATGAGAAGATTGCGAGTCACAATACGGATCTGAGCCGACTAGAACAGGCTGAGGAGGAGAACAGACGTCTTCAGAAACAGATTGACATGTTAATGAAGCAAAGGGACACAGCAATACATTTTCAGCAGCAATATTCATCCTCTCTTCGAAGGTATAATCAGGTTTTTATACCTTTCAGGTATTCTGTGAAGGCAGTAACAATTCTAATGTAGTATCCTATTTTCTTCATGGTAGAATAATAAATACTTTTCTAACATGTTTTCTAACATTTTTCTCTAGTGTATATTATCTTGGTGTGATGAGTAAGGTTTTCTAGAAGGTCCTGGAATCCGTGATGGGGATGTTTATTTGGAGAAGTGATGCTTGAGAAAAAGATTTCTCAGTTAGGATTTTGGAATTCTATGAGGAATTTTAACCATAGTTTAGCTCATGTGTGAGAAAGGGATATTTTGCCTTTCAAGCTATGTTTATTCTTAGTTGTAGACACAGGAGTCAAATACAGAGTCTTGTTAAACGTCAGACTTAGTGTTCCAAACAAACTCCTCAGTGGGTGGTGAGCCCAGCAACATATATATCTTTATTTAAATATAAAACCCAAGTCAGTAAGAGGATATAATCTCTAAAAGGCGTTTAGCAAATGAAGATATTCTCAGGCTTAAGTTAACTGATATTAGAACTGCAGACTGTGAGGATTCAGACAGAGCTTCAGGATTGCAGCAGAGTTCACTGGTTGGAGACGTCTGGGAGTTTTGCTTCACTGAGAAAGGTGCTCAAGTGTTTGACACAACTGCCAGAACAGTAGGTCCCAAACATTATGTCACACCACACTTTACTTCAGTTCACTTCTCTTTGATACTAAGCCTCCACAGTACACATAAGAGGTAGGAAGAATGCTAATATACATAAGGACTCCAAAGAGCTTCTGTGGGCGTGTTGAGAATGTTTTCACTGACATAAGTTAGGGATAATACACAACTCCCACAGACCAAAGCCAAAAAAAATGTTCTTTTCCACATTCATAGACTTTTAGTATTTAAAAAGATGAGATTGAGCATAGATAATAATGTACACATGAATAGCATGTACATAGTCGTGATAAATCTAATTACGTTACAGGAGAATGAATAGTAAGAGAATAAGTTAGGCAATTTAAATTCCCATGTATTCCTGAAAGAGAGGGAAAGCCTAACATGTACTGCAGAAAACAGTACAACCATGCTAATATATGCAGAAGCTCAACATATTTGTATTATGGTTTTGTGGTTCAGGTCTCCTCCTTGAAGGAGAGGAATGTGTGGTTTGATACTGAGCAGAGGTTGGTTTTAAGAATTTCATGAAAGATATTCATGTTCCTGTGAAACAATGATACAACTAAATTAATATAACTGAACTTCAGGAATTTTTGCATTTTATTCAGTTGGCTTTGGGTCTGGACTTCTTTTTTTCCGTGTTTATATTTCTAGAAACCTTTATTTGTCTTACATTTACACCCTTGCTTCATAACCAAAACCATATTTCTCTGGGTGACTGATGAAAAATTTTTAAAATGTGTTTCAGGTGTCTATAGTTTTCAGGATATAAGACTTAACAAACTTATAATTTGAGGATGAATGGAACATAAATTGCAGCAATTTATTTTATTTTATTAATACCAACTGTTAACACAGTCAAAAAAGGTTTTAAAGAGACCAAGAAGGGCAAGACCCCAGTGATGGCCAGGGTTTCATTTTGAATTAATCTTTGGCCTTAAAAAATATCAGAGAAGTGTTCAGTCTTTTTTTTTTTTTTTTTTTATTTAGAATGTTGTCACAATAATATACAGCATATGAATGCTACAGAAACTATTTAGTTCCTGAATTGTTTGCAGATTACAAATTAGCTGTACCAGCTATCTAATTCTTACATGCTAAACCTTTACCCTACATGTGTGCCTCAGCATTTTCAGTGTGGGCTATGGTGCTTGGACAGATCTGCCTGTAGTTTGCAATTGCGTTGAAGACAAAGCAGGTACTCCTGGTGAGGATTCTTTTCAGTATTGGTTACTCCTTATAAACCCATGCTTATTGCTACTGACCTATCCAACCCTGCTACTTGCAGCCCATTCACAACAGTTGTTAGAAACAGGCTTTCTCTGCAGAAAGCATCTGTGAAAATGTGATCCACCTGCCTATATTTCCTCCTTAGGAGGCAGTGCAGGCTCAAGCAGGACCAAGGTGTTTCAGCTGGAACTTTGCTTTCAGGTTTCCTCAATTATCACTGTTTAATAGGAATGTCCTTCTATGGCAGAGACTTCTCTTTCTCCTCTGATCACTTCCCCGTGCTAGTATGCTTGTTGTGGTTTGGTTGGGTTTTTTTGTTGTTTTTTGGGTGTTTTTTTTGTTTTTCTTCCTTACCGTTGATGATTTTTTTGCTTGGAAACATTGCCTTGAATTTCTTCTCCTCCTCCCTCCCCTGTATCTTCACAGTGTTGTCCTTGATTTGACCCAAACCAGTTTCACAGAATCACAGAATGTTAGA